GGTGAGCACACTAGCACTTAAGCCACATCCCCAGCCCCAAAAGCCATCAATTTCAATTCCAACTAAAGTAGGAGGAAAGGATTAGAAGTAAAGTTGGAGGGGTCAGGGGGCAGAGGCTTTGAATGCCAACATCATCCTGCATGAGTGACATGGTGTGATCTTCTGCCAATGCTTCACCTTTCCCAAACCACCCAAGCAACTGTGCAAGGTGACTTTGAGGACTCATTTAGACAATGAGAAGTAGAACAGAAACGGATGGCTAAGGGCACCCAAAATCAACTTTGAAATTGTTCTTTAAGTAAACAAGACAATTTCTTTGATAACGATGACAGAATACTACAGAAATATACTCCTATATAAAAGCCAGAAGTATTATTTTCATGTCTGAAAACAAAAACAAGGGCTAGAGTGTATGGCTTAGGGGTATGGCTTAGGGGTATGTTGCTTGCCTAGCAGGCAGGAAACCCTGGATTCCACCCCCAGCACCATAAGAAACAAAGAAACAGCATTATACTTGGACCAGTATCAGTTACACTGGAACATCCAACAAACTACAAATTATTAGCAATCTCATCCTTAGAGATGACACCAAAAGCAGAAGAAACTAACAATTCTTTTTCCCATATAAATCAGAATTAACAGCAACACTTTTAAGAACAGAAGTTCATGATCAATGAGTAGTACCAGATCTCCTATACTTGTCTTTGTTGTTTTGCTATTTTGTGGTACTGGGGGTCTTTCCCATTGAGCTGCATCCCCAGTCCTTTTTTTTTTTTTTTTTGATACTTATTTTTTAGTTTTAGGTGGACACAATAGCTTTATTTTACATTTATGTGGTGCTGAGGATCGAATCCTTTCGGTGGACACAACATCTTTATTTTACTTTTATGTGGTGCTGAGGATTGAACCCAGCGCCCCTCATTTTTTGAGGGGCAAGTGTGTTACTGCTTGAGCCACATCCCCAGCCCCGCCCCCAGTCCTTTAAATCTTTTATTTTGAAATAGGGTCTTGCTACTTGTCCAGGCTGGTCTCGAACTTGCAATCCTCCTGCCTCCACCTCCTGAGTAACTGGTATAACTGGTGTGCACCACTGGGCCTGGCTTCTGTATTTATTTATTTTTTCTTGGTCTGCTTGTACTGTCTTATTTTTTACCTTTTATGTTGAAATTATTTTAGACTTTCAGAAGAGGTGTAAAGATAATATGGAGTCTACCCAATTTGTATAACATTTATCAAAACCAAAAAACTGACACTGGTACAACTATTACTTAAACTTGAGGTCTCCCATGTTTTTCCACTAATGTCTTTTCTCTTCCAGGATCTAGGATGCCACCTGCAGTTAAGTTATCACGTCCCATCCCGAGAGTCACCTCCAATCTGCAATAGCTCCTCAGTCTTTGTTTTTCACTGCCATGACAGCCTTGGGCTAGGAAGGTGTTTTGTGGAATGTCCCCCAATCTGGACTCCCCTGCTTTGCTCTCAGGGTTACACTGGGATTATGGCTTTGGGGAGCGAGCACGGAGGTGGCACAGCCTGCCATCCTGGTCCACTGTGTCCCTGTCTCACCACTGACGGTGACCTGGACCATTTAGCCACAGTGGGACCTGCCAGGTTTCTAACTGTAATGCCATTGTTTGTCCCTTCTATTCTTTAGAAGCAAATCACTAAGTCCAATCAACACTCAAGAGGAAGGAAGGAAGCCCTACCTCCTGGAGGAAGGGATACCAAACAATACGAGGATCTGTCAGAACTTCCACAGTAATCAATCAACACTACCTAGTATTTATTATTGATGGCAATCAGAGTAGTTACAATTAATATCTGGAGGGCTGGGGTTGTGGCTCAGTGGTAGAGCGCTCACCTAGCACATGTGAGGCCCTGGGTTTGATCCTCAGCACCACATAAAAATAAACTAATAAAATGTATTAAAATATATTTTAAAAAAATTAATACTTGGAAAGTTTTTACCATAAAGAAATGACAAATGTTTGAGGAAACAGATATATTTAACCTGATTTAAACATTACATGATGTGCCAGGCGTGGTGGTATATATCTGTAATCCCAGCGGCTCAGAAAGCTGAGGTAGGAGGATCACGAATTCAAAGCCTCAGCAACTTAGCGAGGCCCTGTCTCTAAATACAAAAAATGGGCTCATGATATATATCAATAGTTAAGTGCCTTGGTTTCAATCCCAAGTACCAAAAATAAATAAATAAATAAAATTTAAAAAACTAAATGTAAAAAATTATACAATGTATACATGTATCAAAACATTACATGACACCCCATTAATATTTATAATTTCTATGTTTTGTGTATGAGCTTAAAAATAAATTAAATTTTAAAAATAAAGTATCTAGGAGGAAATATTTTAGGGCTATATAGAAATCCTATTTCTCTTCATAGTTTCACCCATTAATTTAGCATGCATCAGCCTGTAATAATTTAACATATAACAATAAACAAGTAATAATGAACACATAATTATTTCTATAGTCAGAAATAACTTTTGAGTTTCCCCCAGAAATGATTTCTGACTGCAAAAATTATTACATGTGCATTCTAATGATGGTTCCCTATTTCCCTTATCCCCCTACATGTATTAAGTGAGATTCTTCTATGAGAAAGAATCATTTCTTCATCCCATTTATTTATTTTATGGGTATGCTCTCATGGCACTTGAATAGAGTTGGGAAGGAGAGCCAGGCACGGGCGTGATGGGTTGGCACCACCAGCACTGTTTGCCAAGAGCCCTGGAAGCATCAGCACCCAGTACTAGGACACCCAGTGTCCAGATCTTAGTTTCTAAATACCTTCCTCCAATGAAAGGAATCAGGGCTCCTTAGAGAAATGGCAGGTTCTAGGGCTGGAGCAAGGAAAGTATAAAAGGAGCACAGAAAGCCTCGTAGCGCCAAAAAATACTAAAAGAAAGGAAAGAGGATAGGTCATATCAAAAGAACGCTTCCCTTGGCCACAGCAGACCAACCGTGAGGGGACTCCTGTGTCCTGGGGTGGGACGGCTGGTAGGTTGGTTGGTTGGTTTATTTATTTATTTATTTATTTTTGGGGTTGTGAATGGACAGCACGCCTTTTTATGTGGTGCTAAGGATCAAACCCAGTGCCTCACCCTGCTAGGCGAGTGCTCTGCCACTGAGCCACAGTCTCAGACCCATCCTAGGGTTTTTAAGACATATATAAAGAGCAAATCAGAACTCACAAAATGAAATCCAATGTCCAGTTCTCCTTGGGTTTGGACTACACAGCTTTGGCAGGTCCTAAGGCACGTTAACAAATGCCTGTTGAAACTAAAACTCAGCACTGGGCCACGTGACAGTCTGTGCATCCAAATAGCACAAAACACCAGCCACTGTGACACTTCATATTACAGACACTGAACTGAATGCCCACTGTGAGGCTTTAAGAGGGTAGAAACTTAATCTACCCTCTATGGTGATTAGAGGTGGATATTCGGGAGGTGACAGGATTAGCAAAGGTCTGCTCTCAGAACTCGCCAACCTTCTTCACCAGAAACCTTCCTAAAATAAGCTACACCTGTATCCCTCTTCCCATGGGCACCTGGGTGACCAAGTGTGGTCTCCTCACAGCACTGCTGTGAGTGCAAAACTCTGGGGCTCAGCATCCACCCACTGTGTACGCTTACCTCTTCACCAAAATGACAGCAGCACACCTGTGGTCACCTTTAAGTTCTCTCTCCCTGAAACCCACAGTGAGAACCTGAAAGGATCCAGTCCTCAGTCCTTGGTGGGGGGTAGGCAAAGGTGCCACCCCTGCTGCTCAAAGTCCAGTGCTGGCTGCTGGGGCGGGGGATCACAGGGTGCCTGTGGAGGAAGCTGCTCTCCGCTCTCTCCATGCAGGGTCGTCAGCATACCGTGCATCTAATTCTCTGTCTTTGGTAGTCTGAAGGTAAAGATGGACGGAATGGGGGGTTGGGGACAGAGAGTGTGGAATATGTAGAGGAAGAAGTCCCAGGAAAGGCAAAGCAGAAGACCTTGGCAGCAGCCGAGTCTTGGAAGTGGTAGGTGAACCACCATGTGGTCTAGGCAGTAAAGAGCCAGGGTTTGGCTTTGGTGAAAAGTGGATTCGAACCCAGAGGTGCAGAGCTAGTGACAAGGTCAGGGAACCTCCCCTCCTGTGCAAAGCAAGGATAACAGCTACCTGGATGAGATGTCATGAGGATGAAGTGCTATTCTCAACCCTCTCTAGTGAGATGAACTGGCAACACTCCTCTTCTGACCTGAGAAATGACTTTTCATACTTAGAGTCTGAAATCAAGGTCTATACCCCAAAACTCTCCAGAAGGCTGTGCATCAATACGGTGAAATAATTATGCTTTCAAAATTCTTTGGCTATTTAGAGACATAAATTACTGGCCTCAGACTTTTTATTGAAAAGTTTCATGTTACAGTGAAGCCAGCACTCACTTCCTCGTTCAGACAGTTTCCTAATGGCATCCATTTTTGGCTTGTTGGTGTAGCATATGTTGAGAAGCTAGCCAACTCTGAGTCCATCAGAGTCTGCTCTGAAAGAAAAAAGCCAGGGCGGTCTTCCACAGGCGTGTGCACGAACCACAGTTGCTCCCCACGGACAGGCAGCTGAGGTCACCCAGGAAAGAAGTTCCTCTATCCCTACCTGGAAATCATTCCTCATCATGTCCACATGCTTCACAAGTAATTAAACTGCAAGCACCTCTAATGCACCTGGACGAAGGTCTGATTTGTAAGACCCCAACACACATACAACTCTTTGAGTGAGTCATGCCTTTACAACTTAAAATCTCACACCATTCATCACTGACATCATTGTAAGCCTGGACAAGAGGAAATGCCAGCATTATAAGCAGCTCTTCAGCCCATGACCCTCAATGCCCAAGGGATCAGACTACTTATTTACAACTAAATGAACAGTTTTCCCAGGACAGAGACTGCCCTAAACTCAAGGCTGCGCCAGCACTGGGTGGCAGCTGTCTCGGACACCTACCTTTCAAAGTGCTGTTTCATTTGCTTACACGCATAGTAGTTTCCATCTCTCAGGCTCTGCATCTTCATGACTTCAGAAAATGTTCCCTCTCCTATTTTGCCAATTGCTTTATAGTCTGTAAGTAAAGTAATTATAAAGACAAAATTTTATTTATGTACATATTTTTATATTCACTTCCACACTGCACACTGTCATCATGTAACTTAACAGCACCTTGCTGAGGGTCAGATCCGTGGCCAGCAAGATTGTGCTGCCCTCCCAGCAGGGAAGCAGGCTGGGTGCTGGTGACATCTTGCTCTCCCTTGAACGACAGGAGCCACAGCCCCGATCCAGTGACAAGAAGCACCACTACCTCATAAGACTCGCAAAGCAGTGAGATGATGCCAGCTGGGGCTGTTCAGTGGAGTGGCAGGGTCATGTCACCAGCACCACTGAGCATTCTTCTGAATTTCACCCTTCCTGATCCTAGGGAGCGCACAGCTCATCTGCAGCAGTTTTGTGTAATAAGCACAAGTCCTAATTTTCTGAGAGCTGCCACAGCTCCTTCTGGCTTTGATGCTACCACCATCACCTCCCACCCTACTCATGGTTTTGTAATCCTCTGATTCACTATGCTAAACACCTTCCTGCTGGAAATACCCACAGTAGTTTCTGCTTTCCTGAACGACCTCTGACATCAAATGAGTCCCTTGAAGTGGGGTTGGCTGTGAAGACAACCGGAGCTTCTGTGGCCCTGGCTTCGCAGTCAGGAGGCAGAGCACAGGCAGGAATGCTGCAGAGCTGGGAGCCCACGACGGTGCCAATGACCCACCGCCCGAAGCAGCCTCTGGCCCAGGGGGGTGGGAAGAGTCAGAGAAGGATTCTGCTGACTGCCTCCACACAGGACTCCAAGAAAAGGACGGCACAGGTAAGAACTACAACTTCTCAAGGAGAAATGGAAGGAATGAGAAAGCCCTGAGTGCAGAAGTCCCCACTGGGTTGCAAATGTTTCTACATCCCAAATAACAGGAGAACAAGACTGCAGGAAACCTTGGCAGAGAGCAGTCTGTGCACCTCTCAGAGGATCAAATAACCCAGCCTCAGGGATGGGCTGTGCTCAGGAGTAGCGGCTTGCCAATGTGCACAAGGCCCTGGTTTCCATGCCCACTACTGCCAGGGAAAGAAAGGCTAACCAGGAGCGAGGCAGCAGGAAGACAATTACTGCCCCTACTCCCACTGTCTTTGGGCATCTGGTTCAGAGACCTCCAGGAAGCTCCTGTGAACTGAGACCCAGAAACACAAAAGTAAGGCCATGAAGAAATCAGGCAGGCTAGAGTCAGGTCTGGAAGAGACCCTGGAGGAGGAAGTGACCAGAAGTCAACCATCAGGAGCTTCATTTGCATTGCTGCAGAAACAAGCCTGGACTAAGAGAGCCCTTGACCTCCGGGCCCTGTCTGCACCAGGACTAAGTAGACTGTAAAGCCATGCTGCTCTAGGAGGGCACCGTGGTGCATGCCTGTAACCTCGGCGCCTCAGGAGGCGGAAGCAGGAAGGTTGTTAAGGTTGAGGCCCGCCTCAGCAACTTTGTGAGACCCTGTCTCGAATAAAATATAAAAAAAATAAAAAGGGCTCAAGACACAGCTCAAGGGGCTGGGGCTGGGGCTCAGTGGTACAGAACTCCCTGCCACGCGTGAGGCACTGGGTTCGATCCTCAGCACCACATAAAAATAAAATAAAAAAAGGATGTAGATCAGGGTAGAGCACCCTTGGCTCCAAGTCCCAGAACCACTTAAAAAAAAAAAAAAATCTGTGCACTCCCATCCACTGCTGAAGGCATAAATCGGTATACTCATTTGGGAGGACAATTTGACAATATCTATAAATCTTTTTAAGATGTGCATATGCTAGGGCTGATTGTGGTACAGCACTTGCCGAGCACATGTGAGGCACTGGGTTCCATCCTTGGCACCATGTAAAAATAAGTAAATAAATAAAATGAAGTTATTATTTTAAAAAAAGATGTACATATCTGAACCGACAATTCTAAAACATACCATATTAAAAAATGTAGGAGGTTGTTAATGCAGCATTATTTTTAAATTTTATGTACATATTCCTTTTTTAGTGCAGCAGTATTTAATAGGGAAAAACTGAAAAACCAAAAATACCCCCACAGGGAACTAGATGCCGATGCCGATGATGATGATGACTGGTACTGGGGATTGAACCAGGGGCGTTTAATCACTAAGCTACATCCCCAGCCTTTTTTGTATTTTATTTAGAGACAGGGTCTCTCTAAGTTGCCTATGGCCTCACTAAGTTGCTGAGGCTGGCTCTGAACTTGCCTCATCCTCCCCAGTCATTGGGATTATAGGTGTGCACTACTGAACCCGGCTGATCATGTTGTAATCTATATAATGGAATACACTATCTATATTTAAGACTGACACAGAAAGATCCTTAAAGATTACATCCTTGGGCTGGGTATATAGCTCAGTTGGTAGAGTGCCTGCCTTGCATACACAAGGCCCTGGGTTCAATCCCCAGCATCACAATAAAAAAAAGACATCCTTGAAGACTACACACACCCCTCGCATGAGCCCACATGTGGGCACACGGGGCTCTTTCTGACAGGTAAGGTTATAGGTGTCTCCTTTCCTAAGTCAGATAATTTCCACAATGTTATTTTTTTATGAGAGCACTATTTCTTATTAATCAACAAAAAGAACTAAAAAAAATAGTCCAGAAAAGAAAAGTGGTGGTAAAAGTTACAAAATGGTGATAATTGTTGGAATGAAGTAAAGGATATGTTTTGGAGCTCTGATATTACTCTCTCTATTCTGACATGCTTAAAATTTTTTCTAATAAAAACAATACCTTCTGGGCTGGGGTTGTGGCTCAGCAGTAGAGCACTCGCCTAGCAAATGCAGGGCCCTGGGTTCGATCCTCGGCACCACATATAAATAAATAAATTAAGTAAAGATATTGTGCCCAGGCTGGGATTGTGGCTCAGTGGTAGAGCGCTCCCCTAGCACGGGTGGGACCTGGGTTCTCAGCACCACATAAAAATAAAGGCATTGTGTTAAAAAAAAAAAAAAGTTTAAAAAAAAAAAGATATTGTGCCCAACTACAACTAAAAAATAAATATTAAAAAAAAAAAACACTAGGAAACCCAAGGAGTCATGAGATCAGGATAGTGAAAAAGCAACCCAGGAAAGACTTCCAGCCCAGAATGCCCACACAGGACAAGGCAAGAACCAGAGAGCTGGGAGTTATCCATTATAGCATCTAATAAGCATTACCTTAACTAACATACCTGAAATAAGGGATAATTTATAAAATGGAGAAATAGAATATAGACTTTTGGACTGAGGCTGTAGCTCAGTGGTATAGCACTTGCCTAGCACATGTGAGGCACTGGGTTCGATCCTCAACATCACATAAAAATAATAAAGATAGGCTGGGGACTTAATTCAGTTGGTAGAGTGCTTGCCTCGCAGGCACAAGGCCCTGGGTTCAATTCCCAGCACCACACACACACACACACACACACACATACACACACACACTACTACTACTACTACTACTACTACTAATAATAATAATAATAATAGATTAAAAAAAGAACATAGACTCTTTTTTTGTTTTGTTTTTTGGGTGTTGGGGATTGAACTCAGAGGTAGTTTACCTCTGGGCTATATCCCCAGTCCTTTTTACTTTGAGACAGGGTCTTGCTAAGTTGCACAGAGAGCCTCACCAAGTTGCTGAGGCTGGTTTCAAACTTGTGATTCACCTACCTCAGCTTCCTAAGACAACTGGGAGTACAGTTGTATACCACCTCACTCAGCAATGATAGACGTAAAAAAAAAAAGTATTCTATTTGTTTGTTTTTATGTGTGCTAAGGATCAAACCTAGGGCCTCACATGTGCTAGTCAAGTGCTCTACCACCAAGCTACAGCCACAGTCATTTGACAGGCTTTTGAGAAGAGTATTTGTAAGATTTCACATTTTAAAATCTGCTATTTAATAAAGTAACTTTGTGAGAATTCAACCTACCTAGATTTTTTTTTTCTGAACATGTTAGTATTTGTCTGAGATTGTATCCTCCTTGCAAGCTACTAATTAAAATGCTATTATTTCATGGGTGCTAGCAGAAGAGGCTTGTGTCTTCTTGGGTAGAAGACAAAGGACTTTATTATTCATGGTACAGAAAGGTATACGCATTAATACATTTTCAATGACTATAATCAAAAAGCTTCATCCCCATCCTAACTCCCGGAACTTGTGAATATGACCATATATATGAATAAGAATCTTGCAGAAGGATCTTGAGATGAAAACAATCTAGATTACCCATGTGGACGCTGAATGCAAGGATACACACAAAGGTGTGGTGCAAGCCTATAATCCCAGCATCTTGGGAGGCTGAGGCAGGAGGGGATTTAAAGGGCTGGTGTTCTGGGGTGGAACACTTGCCTAGCATGCAGGATGCCCTGTGTTCAATCCCCAGTACCACAGACAAAAAAAAGACACAAAGTAGAACGGGAGTTGCCAGGAGCCGGGGAAGGGGAAATGGGTGCAGAATTTCAGTCATCAGGATGAAAACGTATGCAGAGCAGTTGTAAACCTATAAAACACAAATGCACGTGTGTGCCTGACAATGCTGTGATGCAGGAAATCCATTAAGATCTCGTGTTACATGTTTTACACGATCTGAAAAACACAGACACACACAAGAGGGACATGGTGACAGAGACAGAGCCTGGAGCGCAGCCACAGGAAGCTGGGCTCCAGGGAGACCCAACACAGGTGGGAGGGAGCTGCCCTCTGCAGACACCTGGGGGGGGGCAGTGTTCCCCAGCAGTGAGAGAACAGCTTCTGTGCTTTACACCACCCAACTGGGATAGCCTGTTGCAACAGCCTTGGAATCTAACAAAGAACACAACTGGCATTTTGTAAATCTAAAACAACAATTTTTTTTCATTCAAGGAAAGAGTCTTTCTGAGCATACCAATTTAAGAAGTCACTCAGAAAAGACTTTTGAGCCCATCAAAGTAAAATAAAACTTTAAAATGAAGTCAAATAAGAGGGAAAGAAAATGGTACCATAGCTCTCCAGACAGAAATGGAAGAAAT